TTGAACCCCGTTTTGTTGAATTATCTAAAAATTCCATTAGAGAAGAGATTTATAGCATTAAATTGGTGTCACACACGTTCTTGTTGACTTGTTCTATCATGTTGTGAAAACTGTAGCTACTTCAAGATGGAGGAGGATCATGAACATGTCAAGGATGCACTACCCCTAATATTATCAAGTATTGATTTATACCCTAAAATACATAGGATACATGAAAGGTTATACCTATTTTGTATAGGACTGTGGGTTTAGTTAAAGAATATACATTTGTTTTAAAACATGATATGTGATATCATTTTTGACTTGTACAAACATTAATTAATTAGGAAAGGATGAAAGTGAAGGCCATAGCTCACATTGATCCAATAAAGCTTGTAGTTTTAAGATAATCTAGCAGTGTATCTTCCATTATGATTTTGGACAAAATCGAATGTTGTGCAAGACTATCCATTGTGTGGGTTCCTAGAAAGACATATTGAAATAGATGGATTTGATTTTTTATTTTAATTGGTTGAATTTGAAAATGTTTGCAAGCATTGAAAACGAGGCTAATGAGGTAATTTCAATTTGTTTTACTTGCTAAATGCAAGTTGAAAGCTAGGGATTTGTTTTTTTTTTTTTTTTTTTTTTTTCTTTTTTCATATAATGATCAGGTTAAGTAAAACTTATGAGGTAATTCCAACATAATGCATACGATAATTAAATCTTGAATTCTAATTTTATTGGAATGAAATCACGAATTTTAATCTTGTTGGAATAGAATATGAATATTTTATCACTTGTTTATGCATGGTCTACAATTATTGATTATTGGTTTTGGTTTTTTATTTTTCATTTGCTAATGCAATATTGGATTTTAAACTACAATTTGGTTTTGTTTTCATAGAAGTTGATGTTTGATGAATGAACCACAAAATTGAAAGTGATTCTAAGCAACATTATTCTTTTAGAATGTATTATTGTCTTTGTTAGATTTTGATGTTTTCTTTCCCGATTTTAAAGTTTTTTTAGTTTTATTCTTTAACAATAATATAATTCTTAGCAATTGTGTACCGGTATTCTATAAAAATTAATGTAATTTTTGTTTTTATTCTTCAATTGATGGTTTGATAATTTGTTATTCTACAAGAAGTTTTTAAAGTCATGATCAAGAAATAGGTTCAAGAATATTTTTATTTGGTTCAAGAATATTTTTATTTTTAAATATACTCATAAACATATTATGTCATAATGTCCGAACTAAAAGAATTATAATTCGTAAAATCGGATTTTTAAATTAATAGAGTATATGATCCCTTAAAATATGCAATTTTCCTGTATTAAATCTATATTAATTGACTAAAATACCCTTGCAATTAAATTAGACGATATTTTTCAATTATATTTAATTCAATAATATGTATTAATCATTTTCTAAAAATAAGTAAAATGATTGGCCCACAATCATTCCTACATCTACACAATAACTAGTTAGAATAAAATAACCTAGACCTATATATATATACACACACACACACACACTAGAAAAGTATGATGCCCGTGCCAAGCACGACCCAATTATGGTAAGTTAGGTAGTTAGTATAAATGTATGTATCATTGAAAATTAGCTTAAGAGTGAAACATTTTGAATCTCTACCAATCTAATTCAAGTTAGATAGTGTACATAAAATGTGAAATGTATGCTATATGAAATGATGAATTGGTTAATGTGGTTGTTTGATATGATTTGGTATAATTGAAGATTGAAGGGAACATATTGTATTTAAGAAACTGATGTTATAAACGATATACGCATCCTCAATTAAATCACCATACAAAAAAGCATTATTCATATCAAATTGATAACGGGGCCAAGAATTATTAATAGCAACACATATTACAATTCTAACTATAACGATTTTAGCAACAAGAGAAAAGGTCTCCTCATAATTTATACCCTTTAGCAACAAGTCTAGCTTTATATCTCTCAACATCACCATTTGATTTATGTTTAATCTTGTAAATCCAACGAAAACCAATAGGCTTTCTACCTTGAGGTAGATCAACTATATCCCAAGTATGATTTCTCTATAATGCTTCCATTTCTTTATTCATAGCTTTGATCCAATTAGGATCAGTTGAAGCTTCAGAATAAGATTTAGGTTCGGAGGTTTTGTTAAGATTACACACAAAACACCTACTTTCATTAGTTAAACAAGAATAATTCACAGACTTTTCAAGACCATATTTATGTGAGCTTTCTACAAAAAGATCATTAAATCTAGCCGATAAACACACATTTCTACCAGAACGAGTGACTCCTAACACATGATCACTAGAAGGATTATTAGGTTCTACACTACTATCCTCAACCACAGTAGATGATCCAGGAACATCCACCTCAACATGAGGCACATGTGCCTTGTCACTCTGGTTGCTGTCCTCATTGGATGAAGACTCAGCCAGATTGTGGAATGCTTTAGCATCATCAGATCATGGGGTTATTCCTAAATCACCTACATTAATGCTTTCTTGTATAACACTATCTCATCATAGGAAAATGGGTCACTTGGGTTTTCAAACAAACCAGATTTATCTCCAAAAGATGATTTAAGGTTGAAAGGAAATACTGACTCATGGGGTTATTCCTAAATCACCTACATTAATGCTTTCTTGTAGAACACTATATACTAATGGCTCATCATAGGAAAATGGGTCACTTGGGTTTTCAAACAAACCAGATTTATCTCCAAAAGATGATTTAAGGTTGAAAGGAAATACTGACTCATAAAATTCCACATCTCTGGAAACAAAAACAAGATTTGTGTCAAGACTCAAAACTCTGTAGCCCTTTTGCTAAGATGAATATCCAAGTAAAACACATTTTTCTGCACGTTTATAAAACTTATCTAAATTGTTTAGTTTTGTTGCAAAACAAAGACAACCAAATACTCGAAGCTTATCAAAATTAGGAACAGTTTTATACAGAAGTTCATATGTAAATGCTCCATTTAAAACTGAAGTGGGTGTTCTATTAATCAAAAACACTGAAGTTAAAACAACATCACCCCAAAATTTTATAGACAATCTAGACTGAAACATCAAGGACCTTGCAACATTCAAAATGTGTGTATGTTTTCTTTCAACAACCCCATTTTGTTGGGGAGTGTAAACACATGAGGTCTGATGAATTGCACATTTATTAAAGAAAAAAAGATTTCAAATTATACCTCACCTTTTTTATTTTAACATCAAATTGATTGAGCAAAATATTAAAAAATGCAGTAACACAAGCAAAGACTTCACTTTTAGATTTTAACAAGTAAACCCAATTTGCCCTAGCGAAATCATCCACTATAGTAAGAAAAAACCTAAATCACTCTGAAGTGATCACTTTATAAGGACCCCACACATCAAGGTGAATCAGTTCACATAAACTAGATGACTTGTGAAAACTAGAAGGAAATGAATTCCTTGTTTGTTTAGCCTTATGACAAACTTCACAAGGTGGCAAGGACTTGATACTAAAGTTAAGCTTGGACTTTAAAGAATTTAAGGCTTGATCAGATGGATGACTAAGTCTACAATGCCATGTCAACTTAGAAAAATAGCATACAACATAATTAGAACTAAAAGAATTACCTGAAGGTACACTATCTACATAATAGAGACCTCCATACTCACTACCATTCCCCACCATTTCCTTGGATTGTAAATCTTGAATTTTACAGCTATGTTCATTAAACACAACCTCACACTTACTCTCTTTATAGACTTTGTGAACTGATAGTAAATTAACATTGAACTCAGGAACAACAAAAACATCAAAAAGAGTTAAGGAACTAGAAACATTAAGAGTTCCAATTTTCTCAATTTTAGCACTAGTTCCATTAGGATGACTAACATAAAGATTAAGTTTAGACACATCCACCGTATCATATAAAAGAGACTCAGAAGCTATCATATGTTGATTGGCTCCTGAATCTACAATCCATTTGTTACAATTAAAAGTTGAACTGCAAGCATTGAATAAGTAAGTACCTGCCATATTAGCACTGACATATGCTTCCTCATTGTATTGCTTCTCACCAATCAGATTGAGAAATTTAACATACTAATCCTTAGTTAGTTGATGGAACTCAGACTCTCTAGATCCAGATGATCCAGAAGGTACAACAAATGAATTAGCAGTAAAGTTTTTACTTAAATTGTTATGACCTAATTCATTCCTTGGTTTAAAATCTTTAGGATAGCCAATTATTTTATAACATTTTTCAATATAATGTTCTTTTATCCCACAATTTTTACATTGAACAACCTGACCTTTAGTTTTAATACCAGTATTACCAGAAGAAAACCTATTATTAAATTTACTGTTAAAAGTTGTAGGTTGACTTTTGGAACTAGGTTGAGAGTCATTAGACAAAGACCCATTTCTTTGAAGTGACTCTTCACAAGATATTAAAGAAAAAACAGTTTTGACACTAGAAAGGGGATCCATAAGAAGTATATGAATTTTAACCTGATCATAAGACTCATCTAGACCACTAAGGAACTGCATAAGTTTCATCAATTTAGCATGATCATTTAGTTTAACAACAGCCTCACAAGTACATTTAGTGAGACTGGTTAAACCATCAAACTCTTTCCATAACGCATCTAGTTTATCAAAATAATCTGAAACATAAATACCACTTTGTTTTAAAGAATTAATTATTTGATGTATATTAAAAACAACTGACCCATCTGCCTCATTATATGTTTCAAACAAACTATCCCATATTTCTTGAGCATTATCAGAATAAGCATGACTTGCATATATAGAGTCACTAATGGAAGATAAAAGCCATGAACAAACTATAACATTAGCTCTCTCCCATTTAGAGACTTCATTAGTCTCAACAAAACTTTTTTTGAAAGTACCATCAACAAATCCTAATTTGTTTCTGGCCTTAAGAGCCCTAGACATAGAACTCCTCCATATACAAAAATTCTCATTGCCAGTTAGTTTAACAGTAACAATGGTTGTAGTAGCATTATCAGATGGATGTATGTAGAGAGGATCATCAAAATTAATTGCATCATCCTTTCCACTTCCTCCTGGAGGATCATTAGAACCAGCCATGTAAACAGAATCAAAGAATCAAACCAATGAAACACTATACTGAAGTCCAAATGGTCACCACGTTTATTGGGGCCCAAGACAACAAATATAGAGTTAAGAGATCAATCAACAAGAATCAACAACTTCAACCAATCAAAACAAGACAAACAAATATGTAACTGGTGTATACAAGACACCAGAATCTCTCACAACTAAGCTAAGAATAGATGAGAAAGGAACAAAAAACTCTCACAATGATCTAAGGCATTTTTTCGTAATCCAGAATTGACCGCTCACCTCCCTTAGGGTTGTTTCCTGACAAAGTTATTTTAGACTAAAATCCATTCTCTGTCAGAGTTACTTTGACCCGATAATGGGATTGAGTGAGCATACCAGATGACGGAGTGCTTAAGCCAAGACCACGAGCCAACCACAGATCCTTCAGAATCGAAAGAGTTTCACCAGATCTGCAAGACCAAACCAAAAAACTCATAGTAACCAATTTCTTATGAAGAAATAGACACAAACAAACAAAAGAACAGAGGATCTAACAAGATCGATTTCAAAAAACAACAAAAAAACAATATAATAAACGATGAACAAAAAACGTGAACGGACATGTATGAAATCTTTAATAGATGAAGAGCGATTGATGCCACACGGTGGCTCTGATACCATGTAACAAAGTATAAACTCAAAAGACAAACAAAAGAACACGTAACTTTCCCAACATCAACATTTCATTTATTATGAAACAGTTGGTTTTCATCATACAAATACAAAATAAAACCTCGCTACAATCACACTATGACACCCAGATATAAACAAGAAATCAAAATACACATACAAATGTGTGTTTACAGAAACCCTAAAACTGAAACTCTCTCACAAAGAAGAAGAGAACAAAACGAGTGTCTATAGTAGAAAAAATATATTGTGCAGGACAACAAATGAACTTAGATCACACTTTAAATACTTGGAGCATCTTATAACCCACAAACTACCCATGGATCTGGATTGATCTTACAACCCGCGAACACACACACCATAGAGAAATATAAAGAAACAACCCCTACACTATTTATAAATTAACACAATATACACATCATATTCAAATGATAAGTTTGCTAAATGTTATAATACTTTCAACAGACCTTATTTCATTTTTAAGATTATAGATTTCTAATATATTGCCTTTATACCGCTTGTTGGAAAACGATGGATCAACCCAAAAAAAAAAGCTTCAATCATTCTTTTTATCCTACATAATAGAAACTTTCAATATATGATGACTTTCCATCTTATAACCTAAAACATAAGCTAGTAAGCACTTGTGCATATACCTAATACCTTGTTACCACTCTCAAAAAATCATATTTTGGAGACTTTTTGAAAGGCTTATAACTTATAAAAAGACTAAAACTAACCCTTATAAAATAGTTTGTTAACACTAGATGGACGTTTTAGAAGAAAAAATCTGTTGAAGCACCGAGTGCAAACTTATAAACTTTGGGGGCTATTTTTGTATTTCTTCTTTTCTTGGAGAGAACGATACATTTGAACATCCTCTTCAATTGAAGAAGACCTAAACACCCGGCTGGGTTTTCATCTTCACTGGAGCAGTTGTTTGGAGTCGACATTGCAGGTATGGAGACCTTCTTCCTCTATCGTGCTTTGTATATCTTCGTACCTCTCACTCTTCTCTTTTTCCTTTTATCTTTTTCTTTTCACCGATACACGGCTTCTAACACTTGAAGATCCCTAATTATTAAATTCTTCTTCAGTACGTCGCCTTCAAAATTTCTCTTTGCTTATACAAACTTTGTTTTTGATCAATTTTGTTATTGTTTTCCATGAACGTTTCCGTTTGATCTTAGGTTCACGATCTTTTTGAAGCAAAAATCGAGTGCCGTATACACTTGATTTAATGATTCTGTCTTTGGTTGATTGCTTTTAACTGTTTCTTAATTCCTTTCTTATTTGTATCCCCGAATTTCTAATTTCATTTGTTTTAACAGGAAGAAGATAAAGAGCAGAAGAACGTGTTTCAGGTTAATAAATTTTAGGTATATCTTTTGGACTTGATTTCCATACTTCAATATCATCTAAATATATCGGATCTCATGTTTATGAGTTTTGCTATGTTTAGATCTCTTCAGGATACGTTTAGTCTCTTGAAACTTGAGCATTCCTCTAATACTCTCTGTTCTGAAATTATACCTTGCGTGATAGTTACAACATGCTTATAAACGAGAGAACTGTAGATGAGTGTAGTATTAGAACTAGCTGCATTGAGTCTGGATATCTTGCTGTCCAAGTATCTCATCTTAAGTATAAGATTAGAGGTTGCAATTTCTACCCATCACACTATGAATCAGTCGGTTTGGGTTTAGGTAAATATAAGTTTTTTTAGCTAAATGTAAGCATGTCATATGGGTCAACTCCAAGATGGGATTATGACTCCTCTTAGTCACTTCCTTATAGTCATCTCTTCATCACTTCCTATAATGTTGTCATCACCATTTTTCATGATATTTTAGTGTTTCAAAGCTTAAATCCTATTGTTACATTTGACTTACATGAGGCATCCAAAAAGGAATCTGTCTTGTATTACTTTATCTGATTATTTTTCTCCGATTTGTACCTGTGCAGGTGATGGATTCTTTATTGAGCTCTGAAGGAGATTCACAGAGGACACAGTATGCACTCTTTTAGCTTTATCATCTAAAATATGTGGTGTAACATGTAGTAGGATTTCAGATCCAAAGTTAGTCAACCATTTGTTGATTGTTGGTTTTTGAAACAGGTACCCATACGTAACAGGTACATCTGTGATTGGAATCAAATACAAGGATGGTGTTCTCATGGCTGCTGACATGGGAGGTTAGATGATTTCTCTGACCTTTGACTATTTTTAAAATTTTAAAGTGTTGATTTTTTCAAAGACCATTGGTATAATAATTGGTAATATTTACATATATATATATATATATACATTTGACAGGGTCATATGGATCCACCATTCGCTATAAGAGTGTGGAGCGGATAAAGCAAATTGGCAAACATTCTCTTCTTGGTGCAAGCGGAGAAATCAGTGATTTCCAGGAAATTCTAAAATACCTTGATGATCTCATGTAAGCACAACAGTACTTGAAACAAAAGTGTCTGTTGTGAATATTATTAGTAAGATAAGATAAGATGTAAGTTTTTAACTATACATAATAATGCATTACAGATTGAATGACAAGATGTGGGATGATGGGAACTCACTTGGACCTAAAGAGGTCCACAATTATCTAACTCGGGTCATGTACAATCGCCGCAACAAGTTTGACCCTTTATGGAATTCCCTTATAATCGGTGGAGTCAAAAATGGCCATAAATATCTAGGATCGGTATATACCTTTTTGCAACATTTAAAAAAAAAAAAATCTTTACCGATATAAATCCGTAAAAGTATTATGTATTATTTATATGTTGGCAGGTGAGCATGATTGGTGTACATTTTGAGGATGATCATGTAGCAACTGGATTTGGGAATCACCTGGCGCGTCCAATTCTTCGTGAGGAATGGAGGGAGGATTTGAGTTTTGAGGAGGGTGTTAAATTGTTGGAGAAATGCATGCGTAATCTTCTATATCGTGACAGATCTGCTGTCAACAAGCTTCAGGTTTATTATTGTTTTATTTTTTGATAAATAAGTTTGTGTAAGTAGAAAAAAATGGTTTCTGTCTCTGATTGGGAGTTGATATTTTTGAAAACACAGATAGCGAAGATTACGGATGAAGGTATGACCATCTCCCAGCCCTACTCTTTGAAGACTTTCTGGAATTTTGCTGCTTTTGAGAATCCTACTGTTGGAGCTGAGGGGTCATGGTAGGCATTTGAATTTTCAAATTCCAACTACTACCCAAAAAACATGTGTTACCTTGGCTTGATGGATGTTTTTTTTTTTTTTTTTTTAATTAAATGTTCTCAAATATTGTTATGTGAAGTTCCGGTAGATGGACTTGATCCTTGTGTTTAACTTTAGTTTTAATCTGTTTGGATCTCTGATTGCCTGTTTGCATTAAATGCTATCTAGATAAATGATATGTCTGTCCAAACATATTTGATTGGCTAATACTTATTATTGGCAAATTATATAAAAACAGTTATAATTTCTCAGTTTAAACACAAAACTTTGCATTTCTTTTTCAAAATACAATCCTACATGGTATATAAGTTTAACAGGTAACCATAACATTTTGAATTATAGTGTAATTCTTAACGATCAAATCGAAAAGCAACTAATACAATGGTTTTCTTTTTATAATTTTTGTATAACTTCTATTTTTATATGAATCAAAATAAGTTTTAGCTTTTCATTAACTTTCAACAAGTTGATAACACTTGTGGAAGGTTAATTCCATATGTATTTCCTCAATTGCTTTGAGAACGGCCTCTATGAGCAGGTGAATGTGTGTATTCCATGATTTGATAATAATTTAAATGAGAGGTGTATATATAATAGAATCCTTGTAGAATTCCACCAAACAAGTTCCATCCAATACTGTATAGCGTATAGACATCAACTACCTCGAGATGATGAATTACAGAAAGAAATAAAGAATGTTGCAACTCATAAGGGGGAAAACAATACTTTTTCCAATTATATGATAATAGAAACATTGATTTTTCGGATCAAACATTTGCCTGTTCTAGTTGAACTTGAACATTGTCGTCTCCATTCAAAGCCTCATAATCACCAAGATAGTTTTCAAGGAAATCAGCCAAGCTTGATTTATCAATACTCTCATGGTGATAGGACTTACAGACAAGATAAAGTATCGTCTGGACAACAAGCCCAAAAAGAAACAACATCAAAACCGCCACCAAACACAAAACCCCAAACCCTAATCTCCTCCAAACTCCCACTCCCAACTCTCCACCATTCACAACAAATACTTCAAACACAATTTGCATTGCAAAAAAAGATAAAACCAACTTCGAAACAACAATAATCGCCACCCATCGTTTCCCTTTAATCAAGTCCATGCTTTTCATCATAGCTCTAACCCCATAACAACTTTCCAAAACCGAAACAACACATGCCATTTGCCAGATAATGCTCATGTAAGCAAACCCAACAAAGTATAAAACCAACATAACATGAAACACCACCACACCAAATGTGTTATCAGGAAAATGAACCATGTAGAAAACTAGTATCAAAATAGCAATCATGTTATAAACAAAGAAAATCACAAACGCACATAAGAAAGTGACAACAAGTCTCTTCCAAACCTTCGGGACAATGCCAATGACAGTGTTGAATGTCAGATTATTAGTTGAAGTGTAAATGGAAGCAACTGTGTAGACAACTGCTGAAGTCGAGAGGAGTGAAAAGATAATGAAAAAGGTGAAGTAGGTGGCTTTAAGTAGCCAGTATGTGATCCATTCAGATCTTAATGCGTCAGAAAGTTTATTATACCTTAGGGTTCCGGGTCGGGTTATGTGTTTTTGGAAATCTGTGTGGATTATTTTTCTTGAAATGAGATTAGAGACTTCCATGTGAGCTAGAAAGATAAAAGCTAAGGGGAGGATGAAGGTTAGGGTGATTTGAGTGAAGATTTTTCTCCATGAGACGATGGTTTTAATGGTTTCTTTGTAGATGCCTAAGAGACCTAAGAACTGCATTTCTTCTTGTGGTTTATCCATGTTAATTATGTTGGCTATAGATTTCTTGAATGAGAAAGTGGAGATGGATCGAGAGGAGTTTGGTTTCAAATGTAAGTGATATGTATGATTATTTTCAGACGTGTTTTGCTTATTTAATTATAGAGACTATGTGATAATATTTTTGTTTGTTTTATAAAAACTATGTTTGTATCTTAGGTAATGGTGTTGGAAAGCCATGTCTTTTTATTTTATTAAACGTATCTATTATCGAAGGGAATATATATGCATGCCTGCACGGCTACAAGAGTGAATTTACCGTTTGCTAACTTTGTTACTAGAATATTTATTATATTTGTATTATTTAAAAAACTATTGTAGTAAAAAGAAGTGAGAAAACATCTTGTATTTTTGTAACCATGTTATGTTTTTGTTTTTGTTTTTCAAGCATATATTTTTTTATGGAGTTTTACGTACAAAATATCAAATCCATTCTAAAAAAGTAAAATATCAAATACACACAAACAATATGAATTTTTTTTATCTCCACACGTTCGAGGAAGCCATTTGAACACAAAGGTCTCGTTTTGAGGGAAAGAATAATAATCACTTTTTAATAAATCACCGTTTCTTCCCATCAAATTTGAATATCAACAGCATAAAAAAAATAGGGTAAGAAATCCGACCTGCCGGATTCGAACCAGCGACCTAAGGATAACAGCCAACAACTACAGTCCTCCGCTCTACCAACTGAGCTAAGGTCGGTTACATTTACATGTTCGTCAAAATATTTATTATTTAATAAGTTCTACACGCATTTCGTCAAAACAAATTAATTTTTTCCATGGTTAACACACAATAACAAGTTTTATTTATTAATAAACCGAAGAGATAACATTAACATTAAGCAGCAGCGGTTACGGCGATATTCATCCCAGACTGACAATGACCAGCGATGCTACATATGAAGAAATTTACACCTTTAGAGAGCTTCAAACGATCATTTCCACTGTTGTACACTTTCGCACCTGCCGAAACTGTGCAACCATTGTAACCTCCTTTGTTCACCACCACCACGTTATGGATCGTTGAATCATAGTTAAATACTGCATTATTTATCAAGTTATATTTATGTTCCAATATATACCATATATATACATATAAAATTATTTGTGGTGAATAAAATTGTATTTAAAAGAAACTTTTTCATGGTGGGGGAAACTTACCGAGGGTATCGCCTGCTTTGAACCGCTTTCCTTTGGTCCAAGTGTTGGAGCCGAAGGACCAACCATTAGAGTCTCCAACCGTATAAACCGCACCATCCACTGGTCCAATGGATTGAACCATGAGCCACACCATTGTAACCAAAAGGACCATGGTGGTTCGACTCGCACCGCCTCTTCCCTCACATTGGCCCATTTTTCCTTCACTCAACACAAAGTTGTTCACACAAAACTTATGGGTGAGCGAGTTAAAACTTTTAGGATCCAAAACATGTAGAGGGTATTAAAACACATAATGTTTTTTTCTTTTTTTGAATATATTATTAACTTCTTGTAACTTTATCGATTGAGCGAGCACCATGATAGGATCACTTTTTGGCCTTTTCCAACTTTTTACATCTTTGAGGGAAACATAATCATCCACTAGGTCAGTGTATTGTAACTTTCAACCACCTTTCATTTATTTGTTTATTACTATATTTTGTATTTCATCTTTGTTCCTTCAAGTTTATAATCTGTAAATTTAGTATTTTATATATTTGAATCAAGTAAAATGTTTTGCAAATCCTTGATCCATGTCATAATACCTCATGTTTCAATTTTATTATTGACTAAATCACATTTTTGGGTCCAAATAAAATGACTTTTCTGGTCTCTTCGTAATGGGTATAGCTTAATTTTCCAAAAAATAGACATTTTACTTGGAAGAGGGACAAAAAGCATCACAAAGCCGCAATAAGGACTAAAAATGCAAGAAAAAAATTTACGTGACCAAATTTAAGAAAAAAGCTATACTCTGAGACTAAAAATGTAATTTACTATTTATTATTTTCTATATCTGAATCAAGTATAAAAAATTCCATTTAATACTGGTAATTCCATTTGTGGAAAGCATGATGTCATGTTTATGTGATTAATATCTAGAACCATATATATACTTACAAAATAATTAAATAATTTTTTATAAGAAAATTTCTTAGTCCACAATTAAAAATGATAACAGATAGTCAGATACTGTTTGCTAGAAGTGTATTAACTTCAAAATATATAAATCTTGATGACAAAATTTAGCAAAAAGGAATAATAATACACAGCCAATCTAGTAGCTAAACAAAACAAGAAGTTATTCCGTATGATGCCAAACGATTGATGATGATGATGATGATGATGAATTAGATTCTCTTCTCTCTTGTTCTTGAAACACTGGATCTTGGTGATGATCTGTCATGAGATTTTCGAGCACCTGGAGACTCTGTTCTCAGAAATCGTGTACTCGTTTCCCTTGTGCCTCCTCTTCTATCAGACATCTGAATGTTTCCTGAAACAGTCTTTTTTTCATCAAACACATTCTTCCTACTTCTTCCTCTACCTCTCCTCCTACCATCGTTCTCACTACTCCTTGAATTTGGAGTGTTTCTTCTAGATGAACTCTCGTTGTTAAACTTCATTGTCCTACTTGTTCTTCCCTGAATCTTTGTATCCTTCTCTTCATCATCATCATCATCATCATCATCATCCATGTTTCTATGCCTCTTGTTATCTTTCAAATGGACCAGCCCTTCAACCTTTGTTTTTTTGGTGGGTGTTCGATCATTACCCGAATCAATATTAGTCAACCCTTCAGATTCTGAATCTGACAACAAAGACTCGGTTTCATCATCTTCTTCATGTTCACTTTCAGTATCATCCTCTTCCTCATCTTCATCATCGTCATCATCTTCTTCTTCTTCGTTAGAAACTTGTCTGGCTTTTTGCTTTTTAGATCCAGTTTCTTGATTCTTTGATTTGCTTTGCTCCTTGACAGTGTACATCAAATGAATATAATTAGACCTTAACGTCATCAATGGATGTTGTGGCTTCGAAATAAGCAAATCCCTCTTATAAGCTTCTCTCAAAACGACTGTATGTGTGTGCAGTTTACTTGAAACATAGAAGATCCCAGGGTGTTGAAGCAATGCCTTCTTGAACCTTGATCGAAGACCCAAATATTCACCAAGAAACAGTAGATTATCCTTGTCAGTTTTCTTTGGTACTAAAAGATGAAGAACTTCATGCAATATAGCAACAGTCCATTTATCAGATTCATCACTTTTCGCCTGTAAATGAAATGCATTTTCGTAAGGTGAAATGTATGGCAGCTTCTGCCAATCATCAACCCATTTCTTAAATTTCTTGTCCACCTCGAACCCACGAGAATATTGCAAAGGGAATGAGCTCAGTGAGTTCTTCTCCATGACAGACGATGCTAGTTTATCACTCCAACAAACCAATTCGAGTTCATTTCCACTGCTTGTAACTTGAAAGTAATCAGGAAATTGAGGAACGATGGTGTGGGTGTAATCGTTAGGCAAACCCAGATCCCATTTCAAGCGATCGATCACAGAAAGAGGGATTTTGTTGATCCTGGCTATCATGAGTAGCTTCAGAAGTCGATCCGCTACATCTTGCTTATGAATCTCACTTTCGAAAAGGAGCTGTTCTTCGGTATCAAGGGTGAGGATTTCAGGGGTTAATTTGACGTGAGGGTGGATTCCAATACCACCTGGAAGAAACTCTTCGAATACAGATGGATATTTTCGAATAAAATCAATAGAACGGATGGGTATACCTAGTGAAGCTCTTTTGTCGGAGATGATGGAGAGAGGGAGAGACTTTGAAGGCTCGGAATTTATGAGGTTCTTGACTTCAATCATGGGTTTCAGGTCTCTTTCCTTCTCCACGGCGTGATCGAGTCCTCGGTCGCGAACCCAGTTGATGGATGCAACCACGGAGGATGCGGCGGCGGTGGCTTCATGGAAACTATGGTAACGGCGGCAGTGGTGGTTGCCTCGACGGCTAGGTCGTGGGAGATAGGAGAGTACAAAACGCTGCTGCATATGGGAATTTTGAGGGTTTTGGATTTTGGCAGGAGGGCTTCTGTTTTTTCGAAGGGTTTTACAAGCAAAACAGAAAAGTTTCAATTTTTTTAATAAAGTTTTAAATTTTATTTTTTAATAGAAAATTTTGAATTTTTAACCTTTTGAAAAAAATAACTAAAAAATTGGTTAATTTATTCATTTTAATCATTTTGAACTGTGTAGCAGCGGTTTTCATATTCTTTATCTTTGATATGTGCGGTCCTCAATCGCCGGACAGGCAGCTTTAGCATCAAGCACATCATCATATCGACAGTCATCCGAACGAGAGTCTCCCATTTGAATTCCCTGAGCAAGCTCTCCTCTTCCACGTTGCTGGAAAGGGCTTAGCCGCCTTTGGACAAGGTCATGAGATTAAATCATTAATTTTTCAAAAATAATAAAAATTTTCTATAGATTTCGTCAAAACTTATATGTAATATATAAACGTATTTTTTTACGTATTTATATCTATTTTTACGTATTTATATACTTTTTTTATAAAGTTTTATATGTATATGTTTATGTATTTTCATGTATATTAAATATATCAACGTATTTTTTTACGTATTTATATGTATTTTTAAGTATTTTACATATTTTTTTATGTATATTTATATGCTATTTTTTTTATGTATTATGTATTTATATCTATTTTTACGTATTTATATATTTTTTAAAGTTTTTATATGTATTTGTTGTGTTATGAGCAAAACAACATTCATATGATGTTCATGCAAACTCTAATTGCTTGGATTTAGTTTTTCTAATTGTACATGTATAATTGTCCAAGACTTGCAAACTCTAATCTAACATACAACAAAACTTAAATCATCATAAATAACCAAGTAAAGATGTTACCTTTGATTGTTGCTTGAAGATCTTGAGCTTTTGAGAATTTTAGCACCTCAAATGTTGTGCCTCTAATGAATCACAAACACCAAAGCAATTGGAGAAGACAAGAGAGAGAGAGAGAGAGAGAGAGAGGGGAAGCTAAAACCGGCTCCTAGAACTCTTAGGGTTGAAGTGTAGGCCGAAAATAGGTGCCCAAGGGTCTCTTTATATAGGTGTGAGATTAGGATTTCATCCATAGTCCTTATCTGGTTATTTAGCCACCAAGCAACCCATAAGAATATTCTGGAACCCTACCTTGGACGAAATCTTATGGGCTATCCATAAGGATTTCGTACAACCTATCCTTAAGGTTTCTCAACCTACTTTGCAACTATTCAATAATTACAATATCATTCCCTCAACTTTAATTAATATCTTTTGATCACAAAATTAATTCCTAATTAATTATTGACAAATATTAATTAAACAAATATGATTTCCCCTTTAATATATTATTCATATAATATATTAATAAGCCATAATAACCTCTTTTTCTATTATTCATCCAGTCAAGTTGCTTTGGTGAAGACAACCCAAAAGTACCATGCTACAACCAGGTCAAGTACATACGAAATATAGTTATGGACTTAGAACTAATCCAATAGTCTCCTACTTGGATAAGTCTAATAACTATAGATGCAAATACGAATTCAAAATCCGATTTAGCAACCGTAGCTCTCAAAAACTGCTGTTGAACTCTGACACGTCCTTTAGATAAGGGATCGTACAGTCCTTCGTTCTCAAGATATTGTTTAGACAAATACATGGAACATAGTCATACATATTGTCCAACAGTTTGTCTCTCGATATCTGATCTGTCTGACATAGAACATCATTGAACACATCAATTCAGTCTTGACCGGGCCCGACACATAAGTCAAACCAAATCATCGAGGGCCCAAGATATCGCTTTTAACCTCTTAGGATAAAAGGACCAGATAAACTTTGACTTATATGCATTGACTATTTACTCATCAAATCATACATACCAATGTGTTTTATAACATCAAGTTACTGATGCGTTTAGGCATTATCAATGCAAAACCAACTTGCAAACAATAAACCATATATCCAGGTTCAAAGACTGTATAATATTCTCGTCTCACAATCACTCGTGATCAATTCCATGAAGTGATTCAAGTGAGCACGTGCCTAATCCAATGCTCAAATCATATTTCATAAGCACACATGAACGTTGCATCAAACTTTTGCTATGTCTAATACACTTTAGACAATCTACAACCCAATTCATGACAATCTTCTTTCATATCCACTTCTAACATATGAACGACTGTGGACGGCTTAAATAATCTTATTATTTTAGAAGTCAAAATATGCAAAGTGAAACAATAGTAAATAATAAACACAAGACATTAACTTTACTTATAAATAAAACACCTTTATTTAATCATCAAATGTTAATTACAATTTGCTATTATAAGTTTCTAAAAGCTATCTAATCAAAAACTAATATCGTCCTTCAGCCCAATGCTCCTAGCGTGCTGCAAGTGCTTAACCCTACTCAGTCCCTTCGTGGGGCGATCCACTGGGTTCTCCTCTAATGATACCCTCTTAACTACGAGGAGTCCCTCTTCTACCTGATGTCTAATAAAATGATATTTCCTATTAATATGTCTGGATCTACCATGATCCATCGGTTCCTTGGTCAAGGCAACCGCACCTTCATTATCACAGAAAATCTCCATGGGCTCCTTTATGGCCGGTACAACTCCAAGGTCACCAATGAAGTTCTTCAAACATATCGCCTCCTTTGACGCTTCGCTCGCTGCTATGTACTCTGATTCCCACGTTGAATCATCTACTGTTTCCTGCTTGGAACTTTTCCAAGTCACCGCTCCTCCATTCAGGGTAAAGACCCAGTCCGACTGAGAGCGGAAGTTGTATCGGTCGGTCTAAAAATAGACATCACTATATCCTCACACCCTTAAGTGATCACTCCCACCAAGGATAAGAAACCATTCCTTGTTCCTATGAAGGTACTTAAGAATATTCTTGACTGTGATCCAATGTGCTCTACTAGGGTTCCCTTGATATCTGATGACCATGCTCAAAGCGAATGCCACATCAGGGCGAGTACAATTCATACATACATGATCGAGCCAACTGCGGATGCATAAGGTACTCGACTCATTTTTGCTATCTCAGCTTTAGTATTTGGACTTTGAGTCTTACTCAACTTGGTATTGCTTTGGATTGGTAACTCCCATTTCATGGAATTCCCCATACTAAAACGCTTTAGTACTTTATCCAAGTAAGTACTTTGACTAAGTCCTATTAGTATTTTACTCCTATTTCTCACAATCCTTATCCCAAGAATATAAGCAGCTTCTTCGAGGTCCTTCATAGCGAAGCACTTTCCAAGCCATGACTTAACCTCCTGCAAGGTCGGGACGTTGTTTCCTATGAGCAGTATGTCATCGACTTACAAAACGTGGAAACTAACTATACTCCCACTAGATTCGACATATACACATGACTCATCCTCGCTTCGCAAGAAACCAAACTCTTTGAAGTTCTCATCAAAACAAAGATTCCATCTACGAGACACTTGTTTTAATCCATAAATGGATTTCTCAAGCTTACACACTATATTAGGGTGTTTCACATCGACAAAAACCTCTGGCTGACTCATGTAAACATCCTCAGCCAACATCCCATTAAAGAAAACGGTTTTGACGTCCATCTGCCATATTTCATAATCATGAAACATTGCAATGGCTAGCATAACCCTTATAGACTTTTTCTTCGCAACCGGTGAGAAGGTCTCATCATAGTCAACTCCAAGAGTTTAAGTAAAGCTCTTCGCAACCAATTGCGCCTTATAAGTGTGTACTTTTGTGACAACCCGAAATTTCTTTCTTGTACAAGAGACCAATTGAATCCAAGTTAGACTCATTTTGTTAGCTTTCAACACCGTTTGGGGTCTATTGGAGCATTCTAAACGTAATGTAAATGAGGTAGAAACCGAGAAACAGGATAACACAATGCGTATCAAGCAAAATCGGGCCAAACACTCCAAAACATGGAGTGTGTGGCCACACACTTGAGTGTATGGCCACATACAGGTGTGTGTAGCCGCACACCCGTTTCCAGCCACACACTCACTTCTATATATAGGGGAAGACCCCCTTCATTCATTCTATCCTCGTTTGGCTGCAATATACTTCTCTCTCTACTTTCTCTCTCTAAAAATCTCGTCCAAAGAACACTCTAAGGGCCTCAAGAACGTGAATCACCTCCATCAATCAGCTTGTTTCTGGTAAAACATCTGAATCGAAGCTTAAACTCATAGTGTTCTTAGTTTTCTTCATGTGTTCTTCATCCTTTGAAGGAGTGCGGCCGCACACCTTCATATGGTGGCCGCACACACTTTAAAAACTCTCCAAAGTGAAGAGTTTGGCCTTCAATTACTCATAAGACTTAAGAACACCTCAAAAATCGACGTTTTGGGCTCAAATTAGGAGTGTACGGCTGCACACCCCCACTGTATGGCCGCACACTCATGTGTGCAACCGCACACACGCATTTGTTGTACATTTTGACCATACACTCCCTTGTGTAGTCATATACCACTCATATACAACCTTATATGGTTGTAACACTTCATAATAGGTGATTACTAGTCCCTAAAGAGGTCCCACTACAATAAATAGTTATTCCAAGCACTAATTTACACACATATATATGCATTATATGGTTAATAGGATCCGTTTGTGCTCAAGTCCGCAAATAACACTCAACCTCCTAAACTAATACTACCGTCACATCACCCACTACAGGTGAGTTCATACCCCTTAATCAACCTTTTAAATGTTTATATACGTTTTATGGGGGGGGGGGGGGGAATACAAGTTGAACCAAACAAGTTATAGTGCTAATCATATGTGATTTACAACTTGTTATCAAAAGGATTTTCTATATTTTCAAATTACCATGCCAGTAAAGTTGTTTTAAACGTTTATCAAACTTATTTTCATGTTTAATTGTAATTACCATGCCAATAAAGTTGTTTTAAACGTTTATCAAACTTATTTTCATTTTAATTGTACTAAAAACTATTTTCCAAG